TAAACAAAAGTAATTATGCACAGGGACGCACTCCTTGCAGAACAGAGCAGGGTTTAAAAAATTGTTTATACTAAATAAAAATAAAGCTGAGAACCTTAATGGGGACTATAAAGCATTTACTGTTTGTTTGTGGCTGTTAGTTTACACAAAAAAAAAAAACTGCTCACAATGTGATTATATATGACAATACATATGTCGTGCTAATATTGAGGGTTCATTAAAATCAATTTAAGGCATTAAATGTATTTGTTTTTTGTTTTGTTTTTAATTATGAGAAATAAATAGAAAAACATACACTGACTGCTCACATAACACAGTTTCTAGTACTTCTACCTCTGAAGAATTCAGTTAGAGATAATTGGTTTATAACTGATACCCTTCCATTGATAAAGTCATTGGAAATGTTTGCACAATTTTGCATGCTGTGTCATTAATAAGTAAACACTACCAGCAGCAACAACAACACTTTGTGAAGCAAGTCCGGCCAGCAAGAGCTAGAATTTACTGAAGCCTTAACAGCAAACAACATCGCAAGGGCCAGAATATCATCATCTAGCAATGTGCTGACTGAGGAAAGTGTAATAAAGTGCTGATTGCACTGTACCATCACTCAAGGGAACATGCTCACTAATGATGGGTGAAGAAGAGAAAAGGGAAGGTGACAAAGAGCGTGGAGAAACTGTGATTTATATAAACAAGATTGCCAATTAATCATGTCACTGTAATGACCTTTGACCATAAAGAACACAGCACCTGTACACAGTTAAGTGATACATTACTGGGATTCAGAGACCTTTAAGCCAAATGCCCTAAATAATGATGTGACAGCAAAGATCCAGCCAGATGCCAAGACTGACTTACATTATAGGACAGCATGTTTGCTAATACAATATATACAGACAGAAAATAACACTGTATATACAAATTAAGCTTAATAACAGGTCTTATCGATCCAGTGAAAGTTTAAATTATTAAGGCGTGAGGAATACGTTTACGTGAAGAAGCAAAGATTTGATCTCCGTGATCTTTACCGTGTGTTTTTATGAGAGCTGTAAAAAAGCTCACAAAACTATAGGAAGACCCCGTTCACTACAAAAGACATATGCACTGAAGAATATTCCACATAGGTACTGATTGAGGTGGGAATAAAGCGTCATTACAGCCTAATGACATCAACAAAAGTGACCTGATATAGCACCAGTCTCATTTATTAGTGAGAGGCTTCAACTGTTACTATCAAAATGACTTTTGGCATTTGATATGCAAAAAATATCCCCTTTCTTCCCTGATGGCTAAAGCAAATAATATGTTAATACCATCAAGTGACACAATGAATTACAGTGTTGCAGCGATGACACATCATGGCATCAACGGAGAATAACATTTCAATTCATTCCAATCAGGCTGCAAAAACACCGCATGATGAATCACCCTCCGACAGCAAACTTACTTTAAGGCGAGAATAAAAAGAACACACAGCACAACTACAGTAGCATCGTAGACCCATTTTTTTTCTTTTTTTTTTTGTCCGTTTTGACAAAAGTTGCTTTGCTGTTACACATGTTACTAGAGCAAATATTTTGTATGAGTTCTAGTTGGTTTGAGCCAATCCACATTGTATCCTCTGGCCACTTGCTCTCTTGGGGGACCCTGTTTCCTCAGATGAGCTTAGAGCAACAGAAAAAGTAATGGCTTGTACTATGCTGTGCGTAGGTCTAATAATAAAAGCTGCTTCTGTGGGAATTGGGCCATGCGTGTCAGGTTCTGCTCTCCAGAGTAGCAATACCTCAGAGATTTTCCCCCCTCTCTCAACTGGGGAAGGATAAATTGATGATACAGTGTGGAAGACAAATGAAATTAATCTTCCCAGTATCTGACAGGAATCGGCTTTGGATAGCGCACACACAAGTGCACACAAGTGTGCACACGCGCGCACGCTAAAATAGCTCGATATCCTTCTGGGTGGAAAATAAGACAAATGGATTGAAGTAAAACAACACTAGCGTTCTGAGACTGAAGAGGCTGATGAAATTAAATAAATGCAGCTAACAGACACTGAGACGTTTTTATCAGATAAAACAGATGACATGAATTTATCTCTTGTTAGCTCTACTAAAAAAGCAGGCACTGTATCTTGCACAGCGAGGCAGGCTAATTAAAAGCAAGCATTGTGAAGCATTTTTTACACTAAGCCAGCTCTGTGTCAGACTTGCTTCAATAGCGTGCAGCCACAAGCGGGCATGATAAGCTTTTTAGAGTCTTATATTGATCTTAATGTCGCCTTAGGGCGAAAGAGCTACCTGAGTATCCAGGGCGACAGACACACTTGAAACCCCCGGGCGTGTTGATACAGATGCCCTCATGTAGGCAAGGTGAAACTTCACACTCATTCACATCCAGGTCACACAGCGTTCCAAAATAACCAGGGGGACAGATGCAGTGGAACCTAAAGAAGAAATTAATAAGCAATGTGTCACACAATCATAGCCCACTTATGTTAATTTCTTATAACTTTAAAAATCATCCGAATTGTTTTTCCTCAGCCAAACATGCGCGCACGCTCCCACAGCAGTTGCGTGCGTGTGTTCCAAACCCACTGAGATAAACTGCACTGGAGTGATTTTCTCAACTGACCGGCAGCATTTTGCAGAACAATTAACAACTGGCAATTAAGTTTCCCAGTGTGCAACTTAATTTAAATTATCCTTCATGACTTGTTACTAAAGGGAAGGCTTAATCTGTCCGATGATGTGGTTTACTCAATTGAAATCCATCTCTGAAGCTGTCGCTGGGCCTAACCATAGATCTCGCAGGAGACGAGGTAAAGAGGCAACGTACAATTATTCACCTAAGTGCTGCTGTAAACATCATTCATCGGTAAACAAGTTACATCACATCAAATTTATGAAATATGCTAATTGGTAGTTATTGTCACGTGGCGCATTTGTTTGAAAGCCTCTTCTGCTCTTGGACTGATTTATTAGAACAATTAACCCTTTCCTCGTTGCACTCTCGCAGCTCTGCATAGTCTGATTCTTTATCGCAGTATAGATGAACTTGCATGGCTTGCTGGGTCAGGGAGATGGATTCAGAGGTGTGTGGCGGGCAGTGAGGTTAAAACACACCTGATGTGAACTCCCAGGACTATGCAATCAGAAGAGTGCTCTAAGCAGGGCCAGGTCACATGGGAATGAAATCATGACGGAAGACAAACTGGAGACAAACCATTTAGGACTCAAATTGGCCCTGGGACTTCTCAACCCATCTGTCCGACTAAGCCTGGAAGCCCCGGGGCTCCCATTAAGCACAGCAGAGAAAAGCACCGGTGGAGTAAAGCCCAATCTAGATACATGATGTGGTCCTGCTGAATTTGCTCTTCGTCTTTAGAATAGCAGCTTATGTGTGTCAAGGATGACAAGCTCGTTGTATAAACTGCAATACTCTAAGGAGGAATGCCAAAACCTTATAGTACTACTTTTTTTTCTTTGGAGAATGGTTATTGATCATTCAACTTTCAAAACAAAATCAAGCAATTAATTCTGCCTGGCCTTTATACTCAAGAAATTTAAACACGCTATGAATGCAAGTAAAAGGGGGGAAAAAATTGCATATATGCTTACTTGTTCACAAGATCTTGACATGTGCCAGCATTCTTGCAAGGGCTAGAGGCACACTCATTGATATCTTCCTCACAGAAAAGGCCAGAAAATCCCACCTTACAAACACAGCTGGAAAAGAAAAATCATTAATATTGATATTTTGTCTCTGATGGAAAATAGAAGATGTTTCTCACAAGCACGTGCACAGAGTGAGAAAATCTATAGGAATGTATTGATATTGATCACATTTAGTTTGATTGCTCACAATCTACAGCGACAAAGACTGGTTTAACTAAATTAAAGAACATGCACAGTAGCATGTGATAAAAACAGTAACGACAAACATGTATTGTTTCATCTAACTACAACCATAATAATACTAGCTGTTAAATAAATTTCAAGCTAAGAAGAAGCATATTGGTCTGAAACCCATACAAAAAAAAAAAAAAGATTTCATCACTAAAACTCCTGACATTTTCTCACCCACTAAGAAATGAAAAGCTGGTTTGCGGATAACACTTTTTACCTGTAACTGTTGACCCGGTCCACACAGTCACCCTGGTTTTGGCATGGGTTTGAACTGCACTCATTGGTGTCAATTTCACACCAACTTCCTTCAAATCCTGAAAGATAGATGAGATGGTCATGGATCAGCAAACCCCACTACATCCTGAAAACGTCAGGACCGATGATAACAAAGGCCCCAGTGAATGCCATTTTAATGGAACTAGTAAGCCCTGTAGCATATCTCATCTTCCAGCTCTCAGCACTCACTGTTTCCCCTTTGAGAGTGTGTAAGTCTAATAATACTTTAGTGCCACAGACAGATTGGTCTGAGGGTTAGTGGTTTGGGGTTTGGGAGGTGTGTGCCTGAGTGTGCCACCGTGCATATGTCTCTGTGTCTGTCTGTGTGGGAGAAAGCGAGCGAGTGGGGGGACATCTTGTTAAGTTAGGGTAAGAGGGAGAGGCTAAGCCCAAGAGCTCTTTTGCCCTTGTTCATTAGGGGGTTGAGGGCCAGCATGGCTAAGCAGATCAGCATGGATGTTTTGTTGTACATCTGAAGGCAGCCTAGGAGCCTGTAGTGTTCTGCCTGCCAGAGGTATTCCTCTAGTGCTTGGCCTGGGTCTGGTCCATTAGATAGTTTTCTGCTGAACAAATTAACATTCACTCCATGCATGACTGGGTTTTATTACGTAAAAAAATTGACAAATTTAAAAAAAGATCACAAATTAACCAAATGCTCAAAAGTATGGAACCAATTAATGGACATGATCTAACTTTCATTAGCAGTGAAATTTAATCACCTATAAACATCAGAAGTACATCTAATGCTTAGGCGTACAGTATAAGCATCCATCCATCCCTCCATCCATCCATCCATCCATCCATCCATGGCTTATCTGAGTCAAGCCTGTGGAAGCAGTAGAGCTACCCAAGCCCCCATATCCCCTGCCAACACTTCCAGCTGTTCAGGAGGAATACCAAGCCATTCCCAAGCCACTCTCTACAGTGTATCTGGGGACTGCATGGGAATCTTCCCAGATGGGCATCCTTGAAAGAGCTCCTCATCATATCTCTAATACTAAACTCAGACACCCTTCATAGGAAGCCTAGTTTTATACTTTTGGCCATTATTTCAACTTAGTTTTCTCTTCACCATAACAGACCAGTGCAGCATCCAAATTACTACAGATGCTGCACAAATATGCCATTGTAGCTGCACAGTGTGAGTAATTATACACAGATACAATTTCCTGTGCAATGCTGCTATCAAGCTACTTTAAAATTCTGGGCTCAGACTCCCAACAACGACTACTGTGTTTCCCCTGCAGAGCACCATCTGCCGAGCATAATTAAATGTAATGCAAGCATAGCAAAGGGTTAATATAACTAACCCATAATGAGTGTGTGAGTGCCCTTATTGTTTTCTTGTCTCATTATGTTACTCCCACTGCTTCAAGATAGAATTACATATTTTTGAACTGTAATGGGTTTTGCACATAGTAAATTTTATGCCCAGAGAAGTAAATGTATTCACAATGATGAGGTTCCTGAGAATTGTTTAAGACAGGAGAGCATGCGTTTTAATCTGGCATGTTAAAAAAATGTGAGACTCGAGCCATACAGGAAGAAATCATTCAAAGTATTGAATATGACATTTTGGCTATTTTTGGAATTCACGGAAACAGTCTAGCAAGGTCATACAGGGTCTTCAGTCCTCTGTGTAATATCAGGAGGTGACTATATACTGCCTTTTTCTTTTTCATCTTCACTTCAAAATATACAGATGCAGGAGTTGTGATTATTTGTAGTCTCCAATGTGTTTAAAATTAGAAAAAAAATACACTATGAATAATGAATTTCCTAAAGGAAAATGGAATGCAGGGTAAGTGACACAACTCTGTGCATCTTGGGATGTATGAATGAAGAGGAATCCATGAAGAGGAAACCAGAGACAGCACAGAGCATCTGGTGAATTATGGGACAGCACAAGTTTCCCATGCTGGTCTGTCAGTCAAAGCGATGGTGAAGCACCTTGGGGACTATTTCGAATGTCACTGCAATGTAATGCATCTTCTGCTACTAAGCAGTGACTTGAGGCTTCTCTTTGACAGAGTACAGAGCGGGATACCCAAGGCGCGTGGCTCACGTAGTCATTCCATCATCTGGCAAGAGCTACAGTATGTGATCACGGCTGCTGCCAGTAAATGTCTCGGAGGAGAAGAAATTGCGGGTGATCCCAAGTGGATAGCCAACTAACTTTGATTGACATTTCAATTGAAATATGAGGAATGTCTCCATTTTGAGAGAGCGAGCTTAGTTTGGACTGCTACATTGGTGACTGTTGTCTTCTGTCAGTCTGATGTAACCGTTTCTCAGAAGGGGCTCATTTAAAATTTTTATAACACAGCGTTTCTGCAGTACAGATTACGATCTCTGTCTGCGGCGGCGTCTGTGTGCCGTCATGCATCAAAATGTTAGATGTCACTGGTGGCTTAATCCAGGAGCAGGATTGTCATGTTGAAACTAGGGTTGCGAGTTTTGCGCCTGGCCTCACGAGTTTTAGTTAACCTACTGCACTTTTTAATTTGCCAGTCAGTGGCTGGATTTTAGATTTATGACACAAGATCAGAGCGAGATTTACAGTATCCAAACTCATAAAGGCCCTAAAAATGCAATGTGCAAAAATTGTGAAAATAAGTGTGAAATAATCGCAAATACAGAGAACATTACAAAAAACAGACATTCTGCACAGACAACTAAGCTATTTTCAGCTGTCATTAAAATAAATAATTAAAAGATTATATATAAAATATTGTTTTACTGTGTTTTATGATCAATATCACAATTCTTGCTTTTTGCTTCTCAGCAGGAAGTGAGAAGCATTTTGCATTGTCTTGTACTACAGAATTGCTGTATCAGGATAATACAATGGGTGATAAATTGCAATACTACGCAATTGTATTGTAAACCAAACCATCCCAGCACCACTGATGGAACACTGTTGGACATCTTGGATTCTTTTCAAGTCCCTGTCACATTATTTTAGTTATATTTATTTAAAATGCAGCAACACGAATAGAAATAAAAACAGAAAAGAGTATGCTTGAAGGTCCTTTACATGCAAGGACCAAAAACTGGGTTACTTGAAGAAGTGGGTTAAGAATAGAAATCCTTTGCATGTAAATACCAGCTACTGCAGCCAATTTACCCCACTGCTACACACCTGGACCACCTCTTCGGCACAGCTAATGCAGGAACAAAATGATTAAACACTGAGTTTATTTAAAATTTGTTTACTGTACAGCTGCTGCAGACCTGCTGCTATTTCATACTTTTAGTATAAATGAAACTACTTCTTCACAACTGATTTCTGGCCCTGTGTACACTCTTGATGTTATGGTTTGTTTGTTTCTCTAGCTTTAGTCATATTATTTAATTTAATGACTAATCTACAAATTAAAGCTGTTAACTTTGGTTTATATGTTTATATGTAGTAAGTTTTGGCTGTCATAAAACGACAAACTGCTTGTTTTATGGTCTGTCAAAGATTTGGCCCTCTCCAACTCTGACCATTGCCCCCTGTCCATTTGGAAAATCATTCATGCTGTGAAACCAAATGTTACAGAATGAAGAAGTTTACAAAAAGACGGGGAAAAAAAACCCTTTGTGGAACAGCCTGAGTGCAGGTATCTCGTCTCTGAGGTCTGCACCAAATACAGGCACTTTAAATGGTCTGAAATAATGGGGGAATATGAGATTTTGGACTTTTATTATATCATGCACACTCTTCATAACCATGACACCGTACCTCTTGAATTACAAATAAAAGAACAATCAGGTTATGCTTTGAACTTTAAAGCTTTGTTAGGCAATTTTGCTTAGAAAAATTCATTAAATCAAATGGCACTCTGTGGTGTGAGAGGGCTGAAAGCACTACAAATGCCACTGAGAATCAACACTCTTCACCATGATGACTACAGCTTTCTGCTTGGCATTTAGGTTTGCTGATTCATATGTTTGGGCCTGAAGCCTATCACCTTGTCTTTCATACAACGCAAAAGGTTTAAGATGCAAAATGTGAGGAAACACCATGCTTGCCTACAAATCAGACAGTTGTGTTTTGCATTTGCTTTTTGACTTAATCCTTAGTTTTAAATCTTTGAAAGTCTATCATAAACATTACAATTCACATTTAATGGAATTGACAGTTTATTAGTTATACCTTGCTTATACCGGTCTGGACCCCCTTTTGCCTTCAGAGCAGCCTTAATTATTTTTTGGACTGAACCTAGGTACTGAGATGTGAAGACTATGGAGGTGAACTTGCGGTCATGTTGAAGAAAACAGTTTGAGATGATTTTAGCTTTGTGACACATTTTCCTGTTACAGGAAGCCGTCAGAAAAATAATACACTGGGGTCATCATAAAGGGAATTAGGAGGTGGTGTTTTAATTATTAGATATTTGCAATAACAAGTAGCTGAACAAGTGTAGCTAATAAAGCGGTGAGCATACAATTCTGCACTGGCTGTCTCTCCTTATGATCATCATACATTAGTAAACATCATTGTTGCAGATGAGCAATTTTGTTACCTCCCTCTCTCTTTTTAATGATAACTATGTAAATAGCCACAAAGCTAAAAAGCTTAATAAATAGCTAGCTACATTTATAGCTAGCTAGCACGATATAGTGCTAGCTAGCTAGTTAGATATCTGTCTGCCCAAGTTCTACGGGTAATTCATCTTTTTTGTTTGTTTGTTTAGTTTTTTTTAAGGTGGAAATGTTGGGTATTAGCTTAGTCCTTAAGCTTAAAAATTTTATTTCCCCACATATTATCAGTCAAAAGTTACAGTTATTGATTATGCCTAAACATGCTGTATAATTTTCACAGAGAAATGAGGATTGCATGCCAATATAAAACAATTCTGACTATTCCGACTTGGTATGAATGCAGATGCACTCATCTAGGTCACCTTAGGCTGTAACACTGTGCTTACAGCAGTGAGTGTCATGAGCTAAAGAGAAACTTTGGTACAGACTACTTTTGTGTGTGTGAAGATTTTCTTCTTCACATGATTTCTTAACAGTGTAATGCAGTTCCCATGACAGAAATACAAAA